CGCTCATATGCTGCATCCTGTACTGTTTTCTACCCTCAAGGTCGGGAAATATTGTTGTCCTTTTTAACTTGTTCCACAGTTCATTTCCCCCCCCCCCCCCCCTGTTCTTTGTATTTGAGATTCCCTGCTCATCTGCCCGCAGACCCTCGAAGACTTGCTCGCGCACTTTCGTCTTTCCCATCAAAATGTTACGAACTTACATCTTACGTTGATCACTTACCTTCGCATCCGCTAAAGGTTTCGCTTGTTTTCTTATGGTATTTTTGTACTCGAACTCGATTTGAGTTTTGACAACGGCTGCTCAATTTTCGACAACAGGATCACAGTACATCTCTTCATTGTAGGTCTATCAGCAGCAGCAACCGCACGCTCAGCAGGTTTTCTTTGATTTACTTTCGCATAATAATTGCTTGTTTGAGATAAGTGTCTTACACTGGGTGCTTTGGTTTTTCCTCAAGGTTAGACCGTGTTCATATCATGCGATCCATTCGCTAATCACGTGGTCCGAGCGATCGGATCGCGAAGTATGAACGCGCTCTCAACAACAAGCGCATCTTTTGATATTGTTTGTCCATGAGCGAGGGCCTGGTCGACAACGGGCTTCGAAATTTTTGATTAAATTGTGTTTAAGAAATCCTATTAGAATTTGGCACAGCGCAAGGGCCCATTTAGTGTTTAGTCTGACATTTTGGCTTCACTAATACGATTGCCGCCGTTCCGACTGTGTTATTTTGCATTTTATATCGTTAATGGTTTATCAGGCTCATATTTTTTTCGTACTCTTGGGGTGTAGTTCGGGACATCCCAACAATCGCGGCAAGGATTGTTGAAAAAAGTGTCATGTGTTCGGTTCTCACCAGGACTCCACTGATTCAACACAGCAATGCTGCTGAGTGTCAATTTAAATAGCCGGGAAGGTACTCGCGCTTGCGCGGTTCGGATGTCCTGAATCACTTGTGGAGTCTGAGATGTGGAAGAGAATCCTCCAAGTGAATAATTAATTTAGGTCCATCAGCAGCAGCCACCTGTTCAACAGGTTTATATTGCTCCTTGTAGTGTTGTTTGCCTAACATATGCTTGATTTCATTATATGTCAACGGGTTTTGGGTTTTGTCGTATAGTTGAGTAATTCAAAATGGTTTAGTCATTTAGGTTCACCAGCAACAACCACCTCCCCCTCAACAGGTTAATACAAATTTTACTTCGATACTCGTTCGTAACTCTATAGGATTAATCATTAGAATGACAGGGGGGGGGGTAAATCTGACAGGGGAATTTCTTCTTGGCATAGTGGTTGGCGATTGGAGTTCAATATCATCCATAGTGTAGCGATTATGTTAGCACACAAATGAAGACACTATTCGGAATTACGTTTGCGGCGCGTCCCTCCTCTTCCCATCCTCTGGGGAGACGGACCAAACAGTCGTAATTTGCCGCGTTGTCGCGATTGGCGTACCTTGCGCGACAACGGAACAAACCTACCTCTGCGTCAAACCCGTGATGTGTATCAGTTACTCGATTGCAGCAAACGCTGAATTCGAGTGCTGATAACGCTCCATGATAGGTCATATCGAATTTTCTCGTCCATTGGCACTCGAATCCAGGCAGGAAGACTCGTCCACTCCGTGCTGGTTCGCTCACCACGCCCACCGGCACATTTACCATTGTCTTGTCCATATCCCATTTTTTGGTCAAGGAGGTGGGGAGAGTCGATAACATCTTTCTGGATTGGCTCAAATGGCACCCCGAACAATGTTTTCAACTGATTTGTTATGGAAAAAGGTCTGTTCGAAAAATGAAGCAATTTTTAGTACCAGCAGCAGCAGCCTCCACCATGTTCCAACAGGTATCAGTAATTTATCGCAAAGCATCCACATAACAGCTATTTGTCGTTCTCTAACTCGTCCATGTAAAGCTGATTTTGTGGGCGAGGGAAATATGAAATGCAGCTGAAATCGTCGCACACCGACAGGCTTGTGTCAGGAGGTGTGGTTTGAGTCCACTCGCTACGTTCCTAACCACTAGTTGTTCTATAATTTTATTTGCCATCATTGGTAGAAAAAGCAGCCGTCTGCGGGCTCACTCCACTCCTCCTGACATTGTGACGATATTATTTATATCTCAGATCTCATTGTTATAGGTTCACCAACAGCAGCCTCCGATTGATCAGCAGGTTTACATAGTTTCTTGAGAAAGCGCACCTAATGACGGCTGGTGTTATCAGAGGCACATTACATGCTCCTCCTTTTTTACTTGGTAAAGAGGAGAGGCGCGCTAATGAGTTGGAGGGGGCAGGGCGCATGTTAGGACCGGCCTCACTGCATGTAATGTGCCGTTAAATGTCTGAATAACTGGGTTGTTGTGGTGAAGTCAGATTGAGAAGTGTCCTTTAATTGGTATTTTCAGCAAACTCTCATAGTTGCCTCTTTTTAGGTCCATCAACAGCAGCAAGCACCCCCTCAACAGGTTTTTAGATTTATCCACTTCAGGCTCATCTAACAGCGGCTTATATCGTTTTAATATCTAATTGGGTTGATGGTTGATCTGCTAACCTTAAGAAACACTGGTCAGCTCAAGGTTGCGTTTATACCTTTTGTCGGCGTTTCGAGTGTTTTGGGCGAAAAGAATGATATGGGTATCGATCTGTCTGGGTTTTGTTTCGAGAACGTTGTGGATAACGATCCTTCAGAGAAAGTGGGCAGGGTTTCCCATGGTGGACGGGGCTTGACCGTGGTGGGCGGGTTTTGTATGCGATGAAGTGGATGGAGCTGTGTGTAGCGAGATGCTGTGCATTGTATGAATGCTACCCTTTACAACTTTTTCAATATTTTAACGACGATATTTTGCAAGAAGAAACATATAAAGTCTGAAAAGGGGCGTGGTCAAGGTGCCAGAGCTTAGAATGCGTCGTCTAAGTATTGCACTTTATATGTACATCATTACTTTTGGATAGTTTTGGGAAGGCTAGATCGATAACTATACCTTCGTTTTTTCCCCTAAAATGCTCGATCACTCGAATGCCAATGAAAAGTATGAACGCCGCCTAAAAGTTCCACGTGAGGTCCATGGCGAGGCTCCTACAGTTTTTCTTCTGTTTTAGGTCCATCAACAGCAGCAACCGCCCCAACAACAGGTTTCTAATTTTTTTTTGCGCGTGAAACTCGTTTAACAAGTGCTTGTTCAAATTAATGTCCATTTATTTTTATTTTCTAATTTGTGGTGTGATGACAGCGTTTGAAGTTTAAAAATGTGAATGTTGCTTGTTATTTGTTATTCCTTCAGATTCATATAATTCCATCATTTGTAGGTCCACCAACAGCAACAGCCTCCCCCTCAACAGGTTGTTAAAATTAATTGTAAAGTGTTCCCTTAACTGTGGCTTTTCTGAGTGAAATGTCTCATGAATTGGGTTGGTGGGGTCCTGACGTGCTAATCGTGTCTGGAGCTGATTAACCCGCAATTGCCTTGACATTTATGTCCACTTAGAAGTTTTAACTTTGCTGCTGTTTTAGGTCCATCAACAGCAGCAGCCACCACCTCAACAGGTTTCTAAAT